TTTTTTTTTGAAAAATACAAACATATATACTGCTAAAAAAATAAGGGAACACTCAGAAAACACATCCTAGATCTGACTGAATGAAATCTTGAGTACTTTGTTCTGTACAAAGTTGAATGTGTCGACAGTATGTGAAACTGTTAATCAGTGTTGTTTCCTAAGTGGACAGTTTGATTTACTCAGTTACCTTGTCTTGTTTAAATGTTGCCTTTATTTTTAAGCAGTGTATTTAAGATTGTAAGACGTGTGCAGGAAGTTAAAACACAGCTAATATAAGGATGTGTTTACAGCAGACCTGTTTAGTCTGTTTTAACTGAACTCTAGTTTGTTTACATGGAAAGTCCGGTTCGTTTGGGGAGGTTTGAACATGTGATCAAACTGACCAAAGTGAACTCTGGTCTGCCTGCTAACCTAAGTTTGATGTGTGAACACCAAGCTGACTGGAGACCGCTCCAAAGCATGAAGTTTCCTCTAACACAGGTCTTTGTGAGTAGTAACAGTAATAAAGTTCGTCATATGTTGTACGTCGCTGCACGTCTGTRTCAGGTGAACATGACTGATGTGGAGCTGGACGCTCCTCCTCTGTGAACACTGCCTCACATGGAGCTGTGTGTGTCTGTCAGCTTGTGTTGAAAACTGTGTTCTCTGTGGTTCAGGGTCATCTTCCTCTCATGCTGAGCTCATTGTTGAAGACTGTGTGTGTGTGTGTGTAAAGTGGACTGAGTTTACTCACTAAGGCCATGAAAAAAAAAACTCAGGCTTCCAACAAGCGTAGTTTTTATTTATTTATTTGTTGCTGGAAATGAAGAAAAATTTACAAAATAAAACACTCTGTGCATTTAATAACACTGAAAATATCTGGATGTGGGTTTAAGACACCAAATTTTCAAAATATAAAATATTGCTTAAAAAGTTGATTTTCAAGAATCTTTCCTTTTTCATAAACAAAAACACAAAGCTCTAAAATATGTTAAACAGTGTGGATATTTATTGAAAACAACTCTTCTGCCACCTGCTGGATAAAAACTAAACTAAAAACTAAATAAAAAAAGGTCCAGCTCCACGTTAAATAAACCTATTTTRTGCTCAAGTTTCTTTCATTTAAACACAGAAAAAGGCTCCAGTCTTGGCACATAAAGAAGCTCATTTCTAAATAAATTTAAATAAACGACACATTACGTACCTTTGGTGTCCAGATATGCAAATGGTTGCTTTAATTTGTGTAAATAAAGGTAAATATAAAATAAAATTAACTTCTACAAAACTAAAAACACAATAAATATAATAATCAGCTGAGATTGATGAGCTAAAGGCTAGTCCTGATGAGGTGAAGATCAAATTGGATTACCTTAAATCTTGAAAATATTTAATAAACAAGTGAAGCAAATGTTTGTAACTCTTTACATCACTGTTAATAACGGGTTCATGTAACAGATATTTTGCTAACAGTCACAGAGAGGCAACTACACGATCGCCCGTGGCTGTGATGTCAAACAGAGCAACAGCTCTGAGACCATTTGGATTTTTGCAGTTTTGTTCTAAAAGGCGGCTCGGACTAGCCGTCTGCTCATCGATCCAGTTAGAATTAACAGTGCGTCTCCAAGCTGAGGTCATCTGGAACAGGTAAGACGCTGACTGTTCACAAAGCTTCTCTTCCAAATGCTTCAGCAGGTCAGGCACCTGTTGGAGGGAAATGAAGAGTCACTTCCTGTAAAGACGAGAGCCTCGAGCACGAAGCGTTCTGTTCAAACAAAACCAGCTCATCTAAAGGTAACAGACTCACAAACAAACAAACAAACAAACAAATAAATCTTATTACACCAGTAGATGTAAAAGCTAGATTTAAACAAACTTCATGCTTTTACATGAAGTCTCAAATTCTCTGTTATTGTTTTAACAGTTTAAAGATTTTTTTTGTTTCTTATGTATGAATTTTATGTTTTGAGGTCATGGTGGCACTTCTGCAAAAACATGCTGTTTAAAACTGGTGCCTTTCACAATAAGAGCCTTCAACCCAAAACTGGGTGTTGACTTCTTAATGAGAACATAAAAAAGCTATTTTCATCATCTTGGATATTTGGAGAGTTTGAGTTTTGTTTTTAAGTTCAGCGCTCTTATTGTGAAGGATAAGCTGTGTAATAAACTGCACCTCAGACTGCTTCAACTCAAACACCACGTTAACATGGTGGCATGATGGAACAAGAAAGGGACATCTGTGGGGTGGGGCAACCAGGTGTGGGCAGTAGATGAAACCACCTGTGTCACCAAGGTGTGTGTGTGTGTGTGTGTGTGNCATGCTCTTGCTCTCTGTAAATAAAGCAAAGCCACTTCCTCGTCCGACATTAAACAGAGCCCGACAGAGGAGGGAGGCTCTGCCGTGCAGCGCTTCAAGAGCTGACCTGCGTCTGACCTCAAAGTGCACAAGCGACCAACTTCAGCGTTGGCTGCGATTTTGAAGCTGAAATCGCGTTCGGTGTGAACGCAGCATTAGAGTTTGTGGTCAGGGTTAGGCTGTAGAAATGTAATGGAAGTCAATGAACGGTCCTAATAAGGTTAGAAATACAAACCTGTGAGTGTTTGTGTGTTTTTTGTTTGTCACATTTGCCAAAAACCAAAAAATAAATCATACACCCACTAAAACCTGAGGTCACTCCATGTTTGTTTACATTTTGTGGAGGAAGCTGTGCTCAGCGTCTTCAGAGGTTTTCATGTTGTTTCCTTCAGTGGTTGTTGGTGCAGCAGCGCCCCCACAGGTGAGGAGGGGAACAGGCTTTAGTTTGTTGGACACAGAGCAGTGTGAATGTGACTGAAAGTTTTGGTCCCCAATCGAACTGAGCCTACCAGACCATCAGGTGTGAAAACAACCTTACATGTTAGAAACAATCACCTCTACAGTTTAGATGAGACAAACTAGGACCCTGCAGCTGTGACTGAGTCAGGACTACATGKTGGGAACTCTTCAGAACTGAAGGGTTTGGTGTCTGAAGGCACAGAACTCACCGTGCTGATAGGTGGACCTGGGCGGTGATGGAAGTCTGCCGTGTGGACCCCCTGACCCCTGAGGCTGCGAGCCTTTACCAGAGCTCTGCAGGCGAGACGTCTGGACAGCCGTGGCTACAGCCTGGGCGAACCTGGAGGGTCCTGGGTTCATCTCACCCTGAGACGGGTCGGACCCGGCCCTGAAGGTGTCGCCGGGTTCATTGGAAACAGAAGCTGCTGGTGGGGAGGCTGGAGGAGAAGAAGGTGAAGCTTCTGTCTCCAGAYGATGGTTAAAGAAGACGGGTGGAGGAGGAGGAGGGAAGCTGACATCTTCCTCCTCAGGTTCCTCCTCATCAGTGCAGGAGCCACACAGCTCCATGTCTGCAGCCGGACCGTGGACCAGTTCTCTCTGATCCTCTGAAGTGCTGCTTCCTCCATCACTGCAGCCTGACGCTGCCTCTTCCTCCTCCTCTTCCTCAGCGGTGTTGGAACTCTTCTGATCCTCGACGTCACAAGAACGAGGAGCTGAGGGTTCAGGACTGACGGACCTCCTCCTGCTCTCTGATCCACCAGGGGAGCGCTGAGCTCCCTCGGCCCCCGGTTCAGGGTTCTCAGCCTGGGGAGACCCTTCAGGCAGGGGGTCCGGGTCGGGCTGTCCCACATCAGGACCAGGTCTCAGCTCTGAATCGCAGGGAGGCGTTTTGTTGGTGGGGACCACTTTAAAGGTGGTCAGCCCCCTCCTCTGCACCGGCTCCTCCCAGTCCTCCTCAGTAGGGAGGTGAGACCTCAGGATGGACTCGTGCTCCCTGCAGACCTGTCCTTCTTCGGGACACGGTGAGGACAGGGACACACAGAAGGCGGCTGAGTTCCTCAGACGTGTGACCAGCTTCCCTCTGGACATGGACGAGGTCAGGACCCGGGCCAGAGCGGCGCGGGCGTCCGACAGCTCTTTGCCCTGGAGAGAGGGCATGAAGGAGTCTGGGACCTGCTGGACACGAGGCGGTGCTGGACCAGAGAGGGGCTCGTCAGTTTCCTTCAGCTCCTCCACTGACTCTGTTCAAGAGAAAAAAAACAGATTAAATTAAACATTTAACTTTTTAAAAGTTCTGACTCCAACAAAGAAAAAGACTTGTTTTTACTGGAGCTGCAGCAAACTGTTCACTGATCGTCTCTGATTGACTGACAGATCCTGAGAACACAGGGATTTATTTGACCAGTCAGTGCTGAGAAATCTGACAGTTTTCAGTCTGTGAATGCAGCAGTGCAGCTGTCACCAGGTCTGAAGAGTTTTCAGACCTCATAGATAAAGAAACCACAAAGTAAAGATGGCTCAATTGAAAAATCTGTTTCCATCTATGAGCCATGAGATACAACACAGTTTCACTAACAGCAGTAGTGCATCACAGTTTAACAGGTTTTTTAATAAGTACAACTGCTGCTAGCAAAAGTTAGAGAAATTAAAACATTTTAATCAAAACTTTGAAGGCAAAAACGTAGGAAACCTGCCAAAAAGACCAAACTTGTTGGTAAGTACAATGAAGACTTTGTAAAATGTGGTTTGCCATGTTTATCTGACAAATCACTGAAGCCCTCCAAACTAACAGCATCTAGACCAGGGGTCACCAATACRATGCCCGCGGGAACCAGGTTGCACGCAGACCCCTTCTGAGTCRCCCACAGGACACRTTCTAAGAATAGCACTGATGGACTGATCAGGTCTATTCAGGGGTCCTGGAGAGGAGGGTCTGTCGGACAGTCGAACCTCGGATTCAGGAAGAGCAGTGTGGTTTTCGTCCTGGTCGTGGAACACTGGACCAGCTCTATACCCTCAGCAGGGTCCTGGAGGGTACATGGGAGTTCGCCCAACCTGTCTACATGTGTTTTGTGGACTTGGAGAAGGCGTTCGACCGTGTCCCAAGGGGGGCCTTGTGGGGGGTTCTCCGGGAGTATGGGGTACCGAGCCATTTGATAGGGGCTGTCAGGTCCTTGTACGACCGGTGTCAGAGTCTGGTCTGCATTGCCGGCAGTA